TTTTTTGGAAATTAGTACTAAAGTGGTAATAATCTGAAACTCAGTATGTAGCTTACTCTATTACAAATAGAATTATATGCATATATATTTTTAAATTATTACTAAATACTGTAGTATAATGGATCCGGAAGAAATAGAAATCTGAAACACGATACGAGGTCAACTAAAAGATGTTTTCTCGCCTTATACAAAAAGTCATAATGTTTAATTTTTTTTCATCATTATTGTTTTCGCGAAAAAAAACTATTCACTTCATTAACAATCATCCAAAAAGAATTTCAATTTCATTTATTGACTACGCCTAGCATTTTCCCTTTCATCCAAGATATTTCTCTTACCAAAAGTAACAAACAGCCAAAAAAATATGTTTCCCATATCATTAGTAAAATAATCACAAAAATGCGAAAGCCTATACATACCATATGCTAGGTCAATTAAGAAGGTAGTTAGTAATGGCAAAAAAATAGCATTGGGTAATTTCGTATGACGGACATAGAAAGTTAAGTATACTGTGTTGTTACCTTTCATTTGGCCACAAACATATATTAATAGCCCCCACTTATGTAGATGTGAGTGAAAAGTGACAAGAGAAGAGAAAAGAGAGCTTATTTTCCAAAATACTTAAAAACAGTCTAAAATATTTCAAAAATATATCTCTGAAACCTACTAACCAACAAGCATGACAATTTGTGGAATTGGGCCCAAACTTCTTTGGCTGCCTAAAGTTAGAGTTTAGCAACGCATTGTGTTGTTTTTATTTTTGTTAATAGCTTCTATATTTTAGAAACATAAAATGTCGTCAATTCTTGACAAAGTTTATGTTGTTGGTGTTGTTTTTTTTTTAATAATAAACTGGGTTAATTGTAAGCCTTATGAACTCGCTTTGCTTGGGTGCTTTTGAAAAACATGTTGGGTTTTTACTCGTAACTGTAGATTCTAAACAACACAATAATTATTGCGTATATGTATACTTGTATACATACATTTATTATTCACCATTGTTACATTTTTGTTATTGCACTTTGGAGAATGTTGTTAATATTTTTAAGACAGTAATTATATTTTTATCTGGATTACTAATTTTTTGATTGAAAACTTCAGAATTCTTCTATTAAGTTTTTAAAGTACCGATGTGTCCGTGAGCAATTTATATTTTATTTTAATTATTTCGTATTATATATTTTTGTTTTAAGTATTTTTATTTTTTTACATTTATGAGGTTCAATGCACCCACTTACCAGCATAAATATTTTTAATGAGCTCTGTATTCGAAACAAAACCAAACATCGTGGGTGGTATAATGTTAATTTGATAAGTGTGTCAATATAAAAAATTGTGAAAATAAAAATATTTCTTTTCTTGTATTAAATTTTCATAGTTTAAAATGGTAATACTGGGACAGACTATGTGACACCCTAACATTATTTTGTTTACATAAATATTAAACTAAATTTGGAAATAATATTACTATATGCATATTCCATTGTCCATAAGGCTGATGTTAAAAAAAAACCAGTAAGGAAAGTTCAAAAGTCGGACGGGGCCGACTATATGATACCCTTCACCACTATGGGTAAATGAAAGACATGTTAATATCTACAATATCCTGTAGATATAGAAATTTCGCATACATCAGTCGGGACCTAATTCAGTACTCTGTGCAAAATGTTGCTTCAATCGGAACAATATTGGGAGTTTGGTGCACAATTTACTTTAAATCAGACGAAACTCTATATGGGAGCTATATCTAAATCTGAACCGATTTCAATAGGGTTCGTCCTTGGGCCTATTAAGTGAACTGTGCCAAATTTCATCCAAATCGGATCATAAATGGGACCTGTACTTTGTTAACAAAAATACAGGGAGGGAGGTTTGTTACCATATACGACTACAAAAAACCAAATTACAATGAATTTGGTTGAAAAACGCGCTCAAGAACCCCAAAATACCGAAAATTTGGGGTACCCTTATATGGGGGCTACCCGAAAAAATGGACCTATATTTATAATTTATAGTGGAGAGATTTGCTACCTAATAAGAACTCGACGTACTAAATTACAGTCAATTCGGTCGAAAAATACGATCAGAACCCCCAAGATACAAAAATTTGGGGGTACCGTTATATGGGGACTACCAGAAAAACTGGACCTATGTTTATAATTTTTAGTGGAGTAATTTGGTACCCAATAAGAACCCAATGTACAAAATTTCAGAGAATTCAGTTATAAAACGAGCTCAAGAACCCCAAAATACCGAAAATTGGGAGTACCGTTATATGGGGACTATCCGAAAAAATAGACCTATATTTATAATTTTTAGTAGGGAGATTTGCTACCCATTAAGAACTCAAAGTACCAAATATCAGCGAATTTGTTCGGAAAATGCGATCAAAACCCCCAAAATACCGAAAATTGGGGGAACCCTTATATGGGGACTATCCGAAAAAATGGACCTATATTTATAATTTTTAGTAGGGAGATTTGCTACCCAATAAGAACTCAAAGTACCAAATTTCAGCGAATTCAGTTAAAAACGCGCTAAATAACCTCGAAATACCGAAAATTGGGGGGTACCCTTATATGGGAGCTATACCTAAACGTGGGCCGAATTTCTCCAATTTCAATAGGGTTCGTCCTTGGGCCAATTAAGTGACCTGTGCCAAATTTCATCCAAATCGGATCATAAATGCGACCTGTACTTTGTTAACAAAAATACATGGACGAACGGACGGACATGCATAAATCGACTCAGAAAGTTATTCTATGCATATTCTCAAAAGGAACCATGGGTCTATCTCGATTATTTTTGCCTGTTACAAACATATGCACAAAGACATAATACCCTGTACCACAGTGTGGTGAAGGGTATAAATAGATGTTGTCAGGATATTGTAGCTTTGTGCAGCCCCAAGTGTTTGTAACGCAGCGATTTATTGTTCCCAGACCGACCTTTAAGTATACCCATCGTCATCGACTAGCCGAGTCGATCTAGACATGTGTGTCCGTCCGTTCATCTATCAGTTATAATTTGTAAACACGATACAAGCCACAGTTATGGACCAATCGTCACGAAATTTTGCATGTAGGACAGGTTCTGGCCAATGAAGACCCCTATATTCCAACTTTATCAATACCTTGTTCTCCGCAACGAACAGACAATTTATCGACCGCAGCGTCATTGATGAAGTACATAGAAACGGCGAAAATGAACATTTTAAGACTTTGATTTTTTGGATCATAACTTTGGAACTACTGGAGGTATTTGGAATAAAATTGGTGTCATACAAAAGTGACGAAGTTTTGCTATTTCGAAATCTATTCATACTTTCATAAATTTGAAATGTTGTATGTGCAAATTTCGTTAGAAATAAGTGGTTTTACTGTATTCTATAATAAAGGCAAAGCATTTGCCCTGCGATATGACATTTCATTTGTGATAATAGAGTGATTCGTTAAAACATATAGACAATGGAAGGCATATATCGCGCTATAACAAACTCTTGAAGTCGCGCAACACAACCCTTACAACATAGTTTGGTAGGGGTAAAATTAAAGCTCTATCCCTACAATAGATCCCAGTGTTTCCACAACAGCGGAATCTAACAAACGACCTGAGTGTCACTCGGCCAAAGATTGTCACATCAGTCCATTTTGTAAATACAGTTGAACTTCTACATAAGCAACATAGAGGGGCTTACTGCCCCCTATCTAACATATGATATTCAGCTATCAAATTGCTATTATGGGCGTAACAACGGTAAAAAATAAAAATAAATTGTTTTCATAACATAGTAGATTTGTTGGCTATCTTTAGGTCATTATATATATGTGTCTATAAAAAATGTTATTGTTATATCGGTTTCAAAAAACTCTGAACTGCGAATAAAAATAACATGGCGGGTAATGTGGACCAGTATGTGTGGTAAATGAGGATCAGTAAGTTAAGGGTAGGTTGTGGATTGGTTGTGATAAATTTAAATTTATTCCACTCTTGGGTAGCAATGAATGCGAAAATATATGGGTTCATGTTTTGGAATAGCCTCCATTTAAGGGTACTGCTCCATTTGCGGTATTTTAAAGGTTCTTAATGCATTATCCAACCGAAGCACCTGTAATTTTGCATATCGAGTTTTCCGAGGATAGAATACCTGCTCGCATATCAAATGTGTCTATGTTTCGAACTCATGCTCATGAATAGGTCCCACTTTTTTATAGTGGTCCACATTACCCGACATTGAATATTTTTATTTAAAAATAATTATCGACTTCAAAAATTAATAAAAATTAAAAATTACCGATTGTAATTACAGAACGTAAATATGTTAAAGAAATCAAGAAAACCACATAACTTCTAAGTGTTCGACTATTTTACAAAAACATTCGACAATTGGGTTAAAAATGTTCAAATCACACTTTTGTAATCAGAGCTACATTTTCTACTACTAAATTTTCAACATTGCAATTATTTATTAAAAACCAAGTTTGATGTTTGTTTTCACTAATTAGGAAAACATTTATCAAGACGGCATTGACATATTTCAAGCATTTTCTTACATATGGGTGGTGGTCCACATTAGACGCATAAGTCCACATTACCCGAAGTTACTCTAACAAAAATTCTAAAATATCTAATTGCTGAATATTTTATGCCCTCCACCTATTTTTTGACGGGCCCTTAAATGTGACTGTAAATTATTTGCTGCTTTCTGACAAGTTTTTTTCAAGCTCAAGTATTCACTGTTCATAATTTTACGCCACAAGGTCCACTGAATCAGAGTTCTTATGTCACTTCAATATGAAGATGCCTTAAAAATGGCAAACAAAACAAAAATATTTTCCATTGTTGAAATATCCCCACAGACCTATTGCAATGTGCCGATTTAAAGCTATTTTCAAAATATAAATATTTTTTTTTTTAATATTTTACCGATAAATTATTATATATGTTTCTTTATGTAATAAAATTATTAATTTACATTTTCTCTTCTATTTTCATTACAGACCAAATGTTCAGTATTTCGTGGTTTAGTACTGTGCCTTTGCTTGAACGTCACCTATGCCAATGTTGTACGTTTCCCACGGGAATTGGATAAATATGGTCTGGCATATATGATACCATATATTTTACTACTATTTCTAGTCGGTCTGCCCATTGTATTGTTGGAAATATCAGTGGGGCAATTTTTGGGACAGGGAGCAGCACACACGTGGCGAGCATCTCCGATATTTAAAGGTGAGAACGAAAAAGGAAATTATTTTTTTATTTTAATTGCAATATGTTCAGAGTTAAAAAAAAATTAATATAGCTATGCTATTTCTATAAATTACGATATACGAATTCGTGAAATACCTTAAAATCAATTGGGTTTCTTCAAAGCGCCTGAAAGTATGCTTTAGTTTTTGTAACTACAATAACAGCTAAAATAGATGTGTTTTGAAATATAAACGATAGGTGTCGCTTCTTTCAGCAATTATCATTTTATATCTTTGTGGTTTTCAAAACATAGAAATTATTTATAAAATACTTTAGACAATATAAAAATCCCATATTCTTATGGATATAATTCCATACGACCTTTTTTGGATATCATTGCTCGATTTCAGAGCAAGTATAACTCTTTTTATTTTGTGTCTACTTATAGAAATTTTGCAACTAATTATAATAGTGTAATTATTACACCCTTTCGAACATCGGATTGTTTCATCTTGATTTTATTAAAATTTATAACTCTCCCCGTTTCTTCCTTTTCCAAGGCGCCTGTATAATTAGTCGATTTGCCTCATGGATATCAACGGTATGGATATCACTGCAAGCTGTAATGTCCATCGGATACATTGGCATGTTTTCATTCAATACGATGCCATTTCGTGAATGTGTCGGTAATATACGACTCCTATCGGTATGTTGTAATGGAATCTCAATGAATTACAAGTAAATTTAATAATTCTTTGTTTTTGTTTTCAGGATCGTTATATGCTCACCAATAACAGTGCCCAAGAATGTATGCAGAAAACATTTTTAATACCATTTTGGGAGAATCCTTTTTATTTTGGTCTGTTATCTATTGGCTTGGTCGCTGTATGGATGATCGTTATGTTTTGGTAAGAAAAAAAGTAAAATATGTTTGGTTATAATTATAGGGATCGAATGAGATATATACATTAGCATCACAATGGGATAGGAAAAACCTGCGCAAATTATTAAGTCAGAATTGTTTGATATCGGCGCCTTGAAGTATGCTTCGATGATGAAAATTCGGGATCTTGAAGGCTTTTAAATTTTCTTGCAGATATTGGTTCATGTTGGTCATATACACGACCGGCCCCCGAAGTAGGTTTATTTTGGACATTACAAGTTTTCAAAGAATAAAAGAACAACAGAAAATGTTTAATGTACGCCCCATATATTCACGCCATTTAAAATAATTTGAAGGTCCTAGTCACATTTACAATCATAGTGACTGTAAATTGTTATAAAAAGTCCGGCCGAACCCATTTTTTTGATTTAAAGTATATTTCTAAGGCCATTTATGATAATTCTGACACTACTGTGGAACACAAATAAAATTTGTAGGAATCATTACTGAGGGGTATGTCTAAATATGGACCTATATTGAAAATGTTCTACGTTCCACCAATTAACCGAAATGCCAGATTACATCTACTTCGTTTGGAAAATTAGTCTAGTAAAGTCAACATACTTATAACAGGGCGGCACATTTATGTGAGGCTAAGTTAAAACATGAAAATACCTAAATTGGTCTATAATAATATGTGGATCGATATATTCCCCTATTTTATATGTACTACAAGTTCTAGGAGCCAAATGTAAAATTTCAAATCACGATTGCAATTTATGTAGTGTTTTCAATTACTTCCCACTTCGTGCATGCGCATTTAAGGCTCTCGTATAAACTAGGATTATAGAAGTCTATAATCCTAGTTTATACGAGAGCCTTAAAAATCGCTCTAAAATTAACAACATGGCGGCCCTGTAAAAAAAATGTTGGAAAATCGTCGACTTTTTTACCAAAACCCATGTTAAAAATTAAGGAAGATCTTCACCGATTGGCTTTATCCTAGTTCATACAAAAGCTATACACTCACAGAGAAACGTGTAAAAATTTGGAATCGATTGGGTTATTAGTTTTTGAGTTATCGTGCCCGCCATTCGCAAAACCAATGTTTAGAGAAAAACGCGTTTAAAGTTTGAGAAGCCCTTCAGCCGTTACTTGATGCTGACACAATAAATCGGCTAAATCTTCAAGAGTTCTTGAGATTTTTCACTTGCAATTTTGTAGGGACATTCTTGAATTAGTGTAGGTTCACATTAAATCAAAAAATGTTGTCCCCGAGAATGGGGGAGGTCCACTTAATTCGACTGCATCCGTAGTTAGGCAATTAGTTTTTTCCCATACTGCAATATTCAAAACTCAAACGTATTTTTTTTAATAAAATTCTAATCGTTTTTTCTCTTCCTTTTCAGCACACATAATGGACGTGTAGTACGGCGCGTATTATTCACATTGGGTCTGCTGGGCTTTACACTACTTTGCTGCCTGACATCATGGGAAGTACACAATACACTGCATCGTTCGGTTCCATATTTCCCCGAACTGTGGCAATTTACCCAAAAATATCTACTGGAAAGTAATCTGTGGTTCAATGCCCTAATGCAAGTCATATTCTCATTGAATTGTGGCATGGGAGTTTTACCCATGGTTACGGGTAAATTTCTCTATAAAGGTGATGCGGTACGAACATCGGTGGTGTATTTATGTTTCAATTTGCTGATCAATGCTATATCGGTGACATTGTTTATGATACAATTCGATCATTCCGCCAATGGAGGATATTTAATTGATGAACTGAAACCGTTGACTGCTATATACGATCGTATTCTGTACGATACACCTCAGCATGCCTTGTGGGTTAAACTGCTGCCATCGCTGATAAATGGTTTGGTTGTGGTGGCCTGTCTTGTGTCGATTGTTGTGGGTGTCTACACCTGTACGAGATTGGTACCGCGGCATCCAAATTATGTCATAAGTTTGGTGGGTCTGGTGGCGGCCATTATATCTCTATCATCACCGAATTTTTATGTGGCCCGCGTTTTGGATTCACGTGTTGTGGGTACAATGATTGTCACCGCCTTGGTATTTGAATTAATTGCTCTCACTTGGATATATGGTGTCAAGAATATTTATACCGATCTGGAGTTCTCCATTGGGCGTCCCATATTCAAAATATGGTTGGGTTTCTGGTGTGTATGTCCTGCGATTTTAACAGGGCTACTGGTGTGGTGGTGTTCGGATGATGATCAAAATGATATCTTACCCCAGATAATGCCACGTTGGGCGCCAATCTTGTTTGTCATTTTCATAATTTTACTCATTGCTTGTGTGCAAATATTCCGCCAGGTGGAATATAATTTCTTTGGTATGATATGTGAAGCATCTAAATCGGCCAAGGAATGGGGTCCAGCTGATCCGTTGGCTCGCCATGCATGGAAACAATGGCGTTCAGTGTGTCAAGATACCGGCCAACGTGATTTCACTTTGAGACGACGTGGCACCCGTGACTATACCCATTCCATTAAAAAGGGCCAATATTCCACATCGGGCAAGTATGCCAATGGCCAGGCGAATGGAGCAACACAACAGCACTGGAAATCGTCCACACCGGGTAACAGTTCGCCCAATTATAGTGGTTCAGTGTTTGGCGATTCAGCCATAGAGGAGGATATCAGCGTGGATAAGTTTCCGGGAATTTCGCAACAATTTGTGCCATTTCACAACAATGACAATCACAAGCCGTTGAGGTATTCGCATAGATCTCGGAATCAGCAACATGCACCACCACCGCCGCCACCTTCACAACAACAGAAGATAAATGTCAATGGTTACGCGAACAGCAGTCATCACCATCAGCAACATCCATCACATCACATGCAAGGCGGACAAGTTGAACTGCGCAGCACCAATCCGGATACACCAAAACATCGAGAAATTGTCTATATTAGACGTATGTCCTCCGAAGAGGGTTCACATGCTACACGCATTGAAATTACACCATCCAATGAGTCCATTTCGTACGCCACCTCACGTAATCCCACATCACGAACGAGTGCAGAAGAGCCGCACCACCATCCGCATTCGGGTAAGCGGAACTCCCAAAATGCCAATAAATTGGAAAATAATCGAAATTCTTCCTCGAAGCTGCCACCGACCATTAACGATGATAATGGTGATCACATATGTTGGCGCAAATTCTCCATGAATCCTCAAGAATATTCAACGGAATTGTGATTTCTCTTTTCGACCTAATATATATCAGTTAGTTATTTTCCAATAAGCTATTTAAGTTAAGCTAAGAATAAAAACAACGAATCTAGTTTTTGTATGAAATGGAGTTGTCATTTCCAAATGAATTGTACATAAAAAAAAATAAATAAATTTGATAAAGAATTTAAAATAAGATAATATCTAAGCATCAAAGATAGTAAAGACTTTTCTGACCCTCTCTTCCCTCATACCCTCCTCAGAACATATCACCTAGGAATCTAGTAAAAAATAATTTCCTTTTTTCGTTAAGTCATTAATTTGTAATTCAGTCCTTATTTAGTCATATTTATATATATGTATCAGTGTATATAGTTAGTCTATGTAAAATTCTATATAAGAAAATAAAATCTCGTAAATGCTAATCACAATTATGAATTATTGTTGTAGTGGAGCATTTACCAAAATTTTAAATTAACAATAATTTTGTACGTCATTTATAATTTAATTATACCAAATTTTTTTCCACTTAATTATTTGTTAATTTGTTTCCCCACCATATATAAATATAGATTTTTTTTTAAATTTTATCATATTTTTTTTCTTTTTGCATTTGTTTATAAGCCCAACAACCTAATTAGTGTAAATAATTAAAATTAATTAAGAAACCAAAAGTTTTCCCTCAGCTCTGTTTTTTTTTTAAGAATATTTATAAATGAAATGTATCCATATTTACACTATAATCTTTAGCATACAATTACAACGATTCATACACAATACAGAAAAAACAATTCTTTTTTGTGTGGCTCTCAAAATGTATTTTCCTTAGAAGAGTAAACAACAAGAAATAAATAAAAAATTTTAAACAAAAAAAACTATTATTTTTATTTTAAGGTCTCCGCTCATTGAGAACTACTTAATTTATATTAATACGATGTACGAAGTTAGGATGAAATCGGTTATTCCCTTCGAGAGTTATCGTGCCAGGCATTGTAAATCGACTCTAAATTCATATTTTTGAAAATAGGAATATATTTTGAAATATACAAATTTTTGCCATTCGTATGACACCAATTTCATGAAAATACCGCCAATAGATCAAAAACCAGTGAGCGGAGCAGTATAGTCGGACTGGGCCGACCATACGATACCCTACACAACTTCTATGAAAATCTAACTTTCTGTGGTTCTATATTTTGAGATTGGGCAATATTTCGCGATATTTGTTAGTAATAATCAGTACAACTACAAATACAAATGTTAGTAATAATCAGTACAGCCCCTCTATTTACATGTCCAGATTTCCTTCACAGTGGGTCAAAAGTCAGGGTCCATTTGACCCGCTAAATATTGACCGATTTTTATCAAAACAGGCATGCTTATTCTTTGGCCCGATCCCCTTCTCCGTTCCAAAATTCGTGGTGTTTGGGCCATATTTGCGGCCTCTGGAGCGACCAGAAAAACAGAAAAAAACCAGTAAGGAAAGCAGTAAAGTCGGACTGGGCCGACTATATGATATCCTTCACCACTTTGGGTATCTTGTACATATGTATCCCTTCCAAGGAACATACGCAAGTCTTTCTGCAACCTATGATAAATTTAATTTCACTCGGGCAGATTTAAAGTCGACTTCGTACCATGGGTCAAATTTATGAAAAAAGACTTATAGCAAAATTAATACATGCTATTCGGTCGCCGCACTGTAAAAAATTTTAATTTCATTCAGACATTCATTCGAAATACATATGGAAGCTATGACAGCATCTACATCAATTTCAACAAAACGCAATAAAGTTATTCAAGTCACAACATGATACGTTGTGCAAAAAATCGTGTTAATCGGACAAACATTAGAAGGTTGGTGCATCATTTATGTAAAATCGGACGAATATATATGTATATGTGGGAGCTATATCGAAACCAGAACCGATTTTTCCGAAACTTAGCACACATCATTCTAGACTTAATTCACGCTGTGCCAAATTTCATGCAAATCGAAAGGTATATAGGAACTTTGGTGCACCATTTACATAGAATCGAAAAAAACTATATATGGGAGCTATATCTAAATCTGAACCGATTTTTACGAAACTTAGCACACATAATTCTGGACATAATTCAGTACTCTATGCCAAATTTCGTGCAAATCGAATGATATATAGGGACTTTGGTGCACCGTTTACCTTAAATCGGACGAAACTATATATGAGAGCTATATCTAAATCTGAACCGATTTTCTGGAATTTTGGCACACATCATTCTAGCCTTAATTCAGTACGCTATGACAAATTTCGTGCAAATCTAATGATATATAGGGGCTATGGTGCACCATTTACCTTAAATCGGACGGAACTATATATGGAAGCTATATCTAAATCTGAACCGATTTTCTCCAAACTTGGCACATATCATTCTGGAACTAATTCAGTACTCTATGCCAAATTTCGTGCAAATCGAATGATATATAGGGACTTTGGTGCATCATTTACCTTAAATCGTACGAACCTATGTATGGGAGCTATATCTAAATCTGACTCGATTTTCTCGAAACTTGGCACACATCGTTCTGCACCTAATTCAGAACTCTATGCCAAATTTCATGCAAATCGAAAGGTATAGAGGGTCTTTGGTGCCCCATTTGCCTTAAATCGGACGAAAATATATATGGGAGCTATATCTAAATCTGAACCGATTTTTCCCAATTTCAATAGGGTTCGTCCTTAAACCAAATAAATGAGCTGTGCCAAATTTCATCCAATTCGGATCATAAATGCGACCTGTACTTTGTTTACAATTTAACATGGACAGACAGACAGACGGACGGACGGACATGCATAAATCGATTTAGAAAGTGATTCTATGCATATTCTCAAAAGGAACCATGGGTCTATCTCGATTATTTTTGCCTGTTACAAACATATGCACAAAGACATAATACCCTGTACCACAGTGTACACAATTTGGTACAGGTCACTTATTGTGCCCAAGGATGAACCCTATTGATATTGGAGAAAATTTACACAGAACACTGAATTAGGTCCTGATTTATTGGAATCGGTTGAAACGTAAATAATCCCTCATATATAGACTCTTCCAATTTTATGTAAATGGAACACCATACTTGCAATGTTTGTCCGATTGACCCAAAAATTTGCATAGCGTATTGAAATTACTACAGGTTGATGTCCGTGAAGTTTTGTTGAAATAGGTTCGGATTTAGATATATCTCCCATATATATTTTCGTCCGATTTTATATAAATGGAGCAGCATACTGCCAATATTTGTCCGATTGAGAAAAAAAATTTTTCACGGAGTACTGAATTAGGTCCTGATTGATGTTCAGATTTAGGTATAGCTTCCATATATAGATTAGTCCGATTTTATGTAAGACAACATTTTGCATAACGTATTGAAGTTCAGATTTTAATATAGCTCACATACATACTTTAGTCTCATTTTATGTAAATGGTGCACCAAGATCCTGTTCTATTTGCATGATATTTTGTTGAAATCGGTTCAGATGTAGATATGGTGCAAATGAAGGAGCCTATGTCTGTTCGCTTTACATGAAATATTGCATAGCGTATTGGATTAAAGTCGTGCCAGGTATAGATATAGTTTCCATATATATTTTCAGCCGATTTCACATAAATGGAACATTGGAATCAAACTTATTACAGGGTGGTAAGTCATAAATAAAACGATTGATTCGTCGGTCAATGTACGATGAAACCAAATAATGATAAAGTTAAAACTAATCATTTTTTACCCTTCACTGTGGTACAGGGTATTATGTCTTTGTGCATATGTTTGTAACAGGTAAAAGGAAACGAGATATGCATAGTATCACTTTCTGAGTCGATTTATGCATGTTCGTCCGTCTGTAGATGTTAAATTGTAAACAAAGTACAGGTCGCATTTATAATCTGATTTGGATGAAATTTGGCACAAGTCACTTTGGCCCAAAGACGAACCCTATTGTAATTGGGAAAAATCGGTTCAGATTTAGATATAGCTCCCGTATATAATTTCGTCCGATTTATGGTAAAAATGGCACCAAAGTCCTATATATCTTTCTATTTGCACGAAATTTGGCATAGAGTACTGAACTAGGTCATGAATGATGTGTGCCAAGTTTCATGAAAATCGGTTCAGATTTAGATATAGATATAGCTCTCGTATATAATTTTGTCCGATTTAAGGTAAAAGGGGCACCAACGTCCCTATATATCTTTCGATTTGCAGGAAATTTTGCATAGTGCACTGAATTGAGTCTAGAATGATGTGTGTCAAGTTTCATGAAAATCGGTTCAGATTTAGATATAGCTCCCGTATATAGTTTCGTCCGATTTACGGTAAAAAGGGCACAGAGTCCCTATATATCTTTCGATTGGCGTGAAATTTTGCATATAGTACTGAATTAAGTCTACAATGGCGTGTGCCAAGTTGTGAGAAAATCGGGTCATATTTGTATATACCTCCCATATATATTTTCGTCCGATTTAAGGTAAATGGTACTCCAAAGTCCATATATATCTTTCGATTTACACGAAATTTGGCATGGGGTACTGAATTAGGTCCAGAATGATGTGTGCTAAGTTTCGTGAAAATCGGTTCAGATTTAGATATAGCTCCCATATATATTTTCGTCCGATTTAATGTAAATTGTGCACTAAAGACCCAATGTTTGGCCGACTGGCACACAATTTTGTACAATGTACTCAAGTTACTACAACCTTTCGTGTTTCAAGTTTTCTTGAAATCGGTTCAGATTTACATATAGCTTTTATATATACTTTCGTCGGATATTAAGTAAATGGTGCACTAAAGACCCATAGCTAGTCCGATTGACACAACGTACTGAAATTAATAAATTAATGAAATTAATAAATAATAAAAAATAAATTAATCTCTGGAAAGTTTTCTTGAAATCGGTTCAGATTTAGATATAGCATAGCTTCCATGCTTTCGAAAAGGCGACGTCTGTTTGAATATATATGAGGAATATACCCAAAGTGGTGAAGAGT